ACAGCGCATGGCGGGCGGGCGGGGTCCGCCAGCTGACGCCTCAAACCTCCGAGCCGCGTTCCGGGACAAAGGGGCGCTGGCTTTCGTTAAAGGAACTCCCTTTGCTGTTCCTCAAAGGAATTGGGACTGAAGAGGAACGAGGCCTGGACTCTGGAATGAGCGGTGGGGAAAGCCCGTGTGTCCGCCTGTTCGCACGGTCCCCGGCGAAAGCTTCTGATGGTACCCAGTAGACAGGATTGGAATCAAAGCTTCCTGTGGTCCTCCACACCGTTTCTTTTTACGGGAAACAAAAACATGCAGAGCAGTGACTTGCCCTCCCAGTCACTACTAATGGCTAAGCCGGAAACTGGGAAAGTGATTCAAAGCAGTGGAAATGCTGTGCACCGCGCAGGGAGCCACGTGAGAGGTTCCACCTGGGCCGTGGTGCATGGTGCGCTGCGCGTAGGCTTCCGGAGGGGGAAAGTGTGTGAAAGCATCGAAGCAGCTCTGAGTTTTGCTTCTGTCCAGGATGTCTAGTAATGTCAATGTGTATTAAGTTCTTCACAAAAACTGCATTTTTTTTAAAAAAAAATTAAGTTTGTCATACTGTTATTTGGAGGAAGAGCCTATGTTATAAGTCAGTTTGGGCACTATAGTTAATCAGGTACTTTGTTCCTGATACATTGGACAGCAACAGGCTTATTTGAAATGTTTTCTTAAGCTAGTTTAAGGAAGACCCTAGATGTACCTCCAGGAGATCTTGGTTAATTATACTGTTTTGTTTTTGTCTTTATTTTTGAAAAATATTTTTTTATTGACTTCAGAGAGGAAGAGAGAGAGAGAAGCATCCATGATGAGAGAGAATCGTTGATCAGCTGCCTCCTGCACACCCTCTACTGGGGATTGGGCCACAACCCAGGCATGTTCCTTGAGCGGAATTGAACCCAGGACCAGTCAGTCCTCAGGCCAAAGTTCTATCCACTCAGCCAAACCAGCTAAGGCTTGTTTTTGTTTCTCATTTAGCATTTTCTCCAGTACACTTGCCGGTTCTTTAATTTCTAAAGTGCAAACTCTGTTCAATGCTACTAAGTTTAACCAAACCAAAAATAAAAAATAAAATAAAGTTTTCTTCAAAATAGGCATGCCCGGGTTTTCAGCTAAATTTACAATAATTTATAACATTTGTAATTTGAAGCTTAACATTAAAAAAAGCAAACAATACTGTCCTTTTTGTTCATTTGTCATTGCTAATACACCAATTGTTAGTTTGTGGTAATATAAATTTAAAAAGTAACTTACAGCCCAGCCTGCGTGAGCATCTACCTATGAACCAGGAGATCACGGTTCAATTCCAGATCAGGGCACATGCCTGGGTTGCAGGCTTGATCCCCAGTAGGGGGCGTGCAAGAGGCAGCCGGTCAATAATTCTCTTATCATTAATATTTCTATCTCTCTCCCTCTCCCTTCCACTCTGAAATCAAAAAAAATATATTTTAAAATAAATGAATAATAACTTACATCTATTATGTACTTTTTTTGTGATTAGCACTGTGCTAAGTATTTTTATTTAAGTACTTAAGTGTTATCTCATTTAATCCTCAGAGCAACCTTACTTGATAGATACTGTTTTAATCTACATTTTACAGATAAGAAAAATAAAGCTAGGAAAAGCTAAGTAACTTCCCTAAAGTCAGTATAGCAGTCAAGTCCAGCTGGTGTGGTTCAGTGGTTGAGAATTGACCCATGAACCAAGAGGTCCCTGGTTTGATTCCCAGTCTGGGCATATGCTAGGGTTGCAGGCTTGATCCCCAGTACGGGGCATGCAGGAGGCAGCTTATCAATGCTTCTCTCCCACTGATGTTGCTATCTTTCTCACTTCCTCTCTCTCTAAAGATCAATAAAAACATTTTAAAAAACAGCTTTCCCCTGCCCCCCCCCCCCATGCAGCACACAATACTAGTAGATATCTGACATTCCTGTTGTGGGGAGCACATCCCCTGTGCCCATGTGGCTATGGCCATGTGGGCCTCCACACATGAACTATTAGACTTTAATTAGTTTGGATGTTAAACTACTCCCGACTGTAACATGGAAAGGAAGCTCTGGACACTGGCCTGCTCCTAGAACCCTAGCTGTACCTTTTCCAGGACTGGCTTCTCCCAATAAACTTTGGTTCCGTTAAATATATGTGTGTGTGTGTGTATATATTTATATCTATATCTATATCTATATCTATATCTATATATCTATCTATATCTATATCT